TCTGAGTTTGTTGCTTCTCCCTAGAGCTTTAAGCCACAATTTTACTTGTTCAGAAATTCCAGCTACCCTTTTCCCAGAGGCAGGAGATTTTGGTTAGTGGCTTTAGAGTTTGTCACAAACTGTCACATTCTTCAGTTAATAAAATGGACTTGACTTGGGTAGACCGAAGATGGATTTTCCATTATATCATTTAGAAATGGATAGGCCTTTCCATAAACACACTTAGACACTTTATCCCAACTTTTACTTTTTCTCTATTTCATTTTTATGTTTTAATGGCCCTCTTGTCGGCATATCCCTTTTGGCATTGTTGGCAACGTCAAGAAGCTTGAGTGCATTTGCCTTACCCTGAATCCACCAGAATGGTAGAGGGGCTTCTTTGCCAAGCCCACTGAGCTTGAGGCCTGAGGCATCCCCATTACCACTTAGCACCATGAGACCTTCACATGGAGCTGGGAGCCTTCTAAATGTCTTGGATTTAGGATGAATGACTTTCTCTGTTGTCAATTCTTCAGTGTTTCTGGATTCACTTAATATAACACTGTCAGGCTTTAGTCTAAAATGTATTCTTTGAATTAAATAAAAAAGCAGTTATCTAGGCCAGCCTTTACCAAAGAACACAGGATACTTACTATGAAAGATTGGATTATTTGTTTCCGCTCTTCGCTCCCATGGAATAGCATTGTACATCCACACTCTTTCTTTGCAGCCGGCACTGTACCCCCACAGGACAATGGGATGGTGGGAAGAATTTGCTTCCCCCAAAACTCCACTTTGTTGGCAGTTGGCTTGGCCAGTGGAGGGCTGTGGAATCGGTGTGAACATGGGCCTTGTGTCTGTCTGTATGTTGCAGCTTGCCCTCTCGCATTCCTGTGATCATCGTAAGAAGAACATGGCCCTGCTATGGCTTCCCTCTCTTCAATATGGGCCTGGAATGGAACACAGACAACTGAGCCAAACCTGATCTGCAGCTTGAACCTAAACTAGCCGAACTGCACTTGAAGCAGAGCTACCCTAACCAGTCCACAGACCAGTGAGTAAGAAAAGTAAAATTCTTAAATGAAAAATAAAATAAAATAAAAACTATAAAAAAAAAAGAAAATTAAAATTCTTATTTGTTTACACTTGTTGAGTTTTGTTACTTAGCATTATTCCAGCAATAGATGACTAACACACTTATCTATTTCTCAGTCATGTTCCCTCAGGCAGTGGAGTCCATATGAAACCCAGAACAAACTGTTATTTGCTAGGAGAATCAAGTGAATATTGTAGCCATGAATCAGATGGGTTACCATCTTCTCATGGATTTTTCTCTAGTCTACCCCAATCTTCAAGAATCCACTCTGAGCAGATTTTCTGAGCATCCTTTTAGTCAGATTAGTCTGTATAGAATTACAGAATGTGAAGGCTGTCATTTTCTAGTGGTCCTCACAAGTGCTGGATCCCAACAACTGAAGCCTCTATCAAGTTATGTTATGATTTATATATGGGCAATGGTACAGGTTCCAAGCTGTAGAAGCCAGATTTCTTGGCACTAAAAAGCACTATTAAAATTCAGCTTTTACCCAAGAATATTAACAAGCTCTGATCACTAGCAGTTAAGGTCCATTGCAATGTTCAGCAAGTATCAGCATGAAATGACAGACTGTCCTTTGTCTTCCTGAGATCCCCAGATCCCCAAATGAACACATTTTCTTACATTCCTTGCTCCATGAACATAGGTATATTTTGCAGTTAACATTACTGGGGTTGGCCAGAGCTCAGGAGTCTATTTCCTTACACCTAGATTTTTAGCCAGATAATTTTAATTGGAATCTTTTATTACAGTATGCTCTTTCAAAATCTAAGGATATAGCTGGATATTTTGTTTACCAAGCCCATCTCAGAATTAGATGCCATCATCTTATGGCAGAAAGTTCCTAGGCCACCTTGAGCTTCAGATTTGTATCTTTACAACATGATCAAAGAGTCTTCCTACTTTTAATGCATCACATGGGCCCTAAATATTTAAAAATAATCACCAAGTACATAAAAGTCATGCTTAACCTTATAAAACATGTGTTGGCTCTGTTCATTTTCTCAAAGTTCACCTCCCCTTCTGTGCTTTAATTTTTTCTATTTCTCATCTGGCCATTCCTTTCTTCCTTGAATCCAATTGTTTTTCTTCTGACTAGCCAAACACAGGCAGATTGAGCAAGGCTTTGTCACAAGAGAGTTGTTTAGCCTGAGAGAGGAAACACTAAAGGGGGACATTATAGTCACCTTTGAAATTTCATTTATTTTTATTTTTTTGGTTGCATTGCATGGCATACAGGATTAGTTCCTCAAGTAGGAATCAAATCCATGCCCCCTGCAATGGAAGCAAGAAATCTTAACCACAGGGAAGTTCCTATGGTCACTTTTAACATGCGATGGTCTGTTATATAAAAAAGGGAATATGCTAGAGGGGAATAAAAAGAAAGAGTGAATAAGCTTGTCCTCTGTTGCTATGGAAAGGATGGAGCTAAACAAGGTAGAACAAGTCATAGAAAAGAGCTGTCAGGGAAACTCTCCTATTGAAAAGAAATTGGGCTCAATGTGAAGAAAGCTGAGTGCCAAAAAATTGATGCTTTTGAACTGTGGTGTTGAAGAAGACTCTTGAGAGTCCCTTGGACTGCAAGGAGATCCAACCAGTCCATCCTAAAGGAGATCAGTCCTGGGTGTTCATTGGAACTACTGATGCTGAAGCTGAAACTCCAATACTTTGGCCACCTCATGTGAAGAGTTGACTCATTGCTGGGAGGGATTGGGGGCAGGAGGAGAAGGGGATGACAGAGGATGAGATGGCTGGATGGCATCACCGCCTCAGTGGACATAGTTTGAGTAAACTCCGGGAGCTGGTGATGGACAGGGAGGCCTGGCATGCTGCGATTCATGGGGTCGCAAAGAGTTGGACACGACTGAGCGACTGAACTGAACTGACTGAAAAATTTTTCAATAAATTGGTAATGTCCAGTTCTAGAATAAAAAGCAGTGAGTCATTGTCAGTGAATGGATTCAAACTTTTCAGGCATAATAAACATGTAATTCCTACATCTCTGAGTACCTTCCAAATTTAAAATATTATGATTTGATCTATTTGATTCTCTATAGTTTATCTATTATGAGTGTGCAGTGCAGGATAACATCAGCCATAGCAGTTTCATGATTCTGTGATTAAATGAAAAAGTCAAACAGAATTTGTAGTCTTGAGTTTAGTAGGTCCTTCTGAATACTCCTGACTTCTGTTGAATCCAAATTGAAATATTTTACATAGTGAGATAGAGAGCATCCTACTTTTTCATATTGTGCTGGTTAGATTTTCAATTATACCTACAGCTTGATCTCCACTGTTTAGAAGCATAAATATGCATATATCTTTATGACTGGGATTCATGTTAATTTACTACCTCCTGCTGTCATCCTGAAAGGAGCTTGTTACTCTATTTTCTAGTTTCTAACCACAACGACAATATTAAAAACAATATTAAAAAGTAGAGACGTTACTTTGACAACAAAGATCCGTCTAGTCAAGGCTATGGTTTTTCCAGTAGTCATATATGGATGTGAGAGTTGGACTATAAAGAAAGCTGAGCATCAAAGAATTGATGCTTTTGAGCTGTGGTGTTGAAGACTCTTGAGAGTCCCTTGGACTGTAAGATCCAACTAGTCCATCCTAAAGGAAATCAGTCCTGATGTTCATTGGAAGGACTGATGCTGAAGCTGAAACTCCAATTATTTGGCCATCTGATGCAAAGAGCTGACTCACTGGAAAAGACCCTGATGCTGGGAGGGACTGGGGGCAGGAGGAGAAGGGGACGACAGAGGATGAGATGGTTGGATGGCATCACCGACTCAATGGACTTGAGTTTGAGTAAACTCTGGGAGTTGGTGATGGTCAGGGAGGCCTGGTGTGCTGCAGTCCATGGGGTTGCAAAGAGTTGGACACAACTGAGCGACTGAACTGAACTGAACCACAACAACTTTGGGGTTAACTTTCTTTTAGTCTGGCTATATTGACATACAAAATGTACTAAGAGAAGCACTTTCTATGTTGACTTTTAAAATCATGAATACAATCCCAAGGAACAAAAATTATATAGTGAAAATTCTTCCTTTTTAACAAAATCTAAAGTCAGATTTAAAATCTATATTTAAGACTTAAAGACCATCTAAATGCTTTAGTATGAGATTTGGGATTATTTTCTTCTACCTACATGTACCTTTTAGAAAATCCTTTGCTGTGATTGATTAGTGGTGAACTAAGTGTTTGAAAGAAATGCTATTCCTGAAAGACATTTTTCCTGGTGCAAAATTCTAGCAGTTATCATTTATTTATTGCTTTCAGCACACCAAGGACTGGTTTCTGGCTTCCATCAATGTTGTTGAGAAGTCAGCTGTCAGTCTAATTACAGCTCATTTGAAGGCTTTCTTTTTTCTTTCTGACTGATTTTACAATTTTGTTTTTGTCTTTGGTTTTATAAAGGTGCTCTCTAATGCACCCAAGTGTGAATTTCCTTTATTCATCCAGTTTTTGACTCATTATGCTCTTTGACTTGGTGTTATTCATCAGTTCTAGCAAATTCTCATCCATCATTCTTCAAATATTGCTCCTTCATCCTTTACTTTTTCTTCATGAATCCAATTAAGCATCTTAGAATTCTATTACATGCTCAATACCTTTTATCTTCACTTCTGCATTTTCTAAGGATATGTTCATTTCTCCAGGATTCATTTTTAATATTATTTTTAAATGTATGAATTGCAACTCTATTTTTTACACTTAAAGGCTGACGAGAAACCTTTACTAATCCTACTAAAGAAAATCCGACGCGACAGCTCAATTGAAAAGTATGGTTAGCATATTTACTCATTAAATACTATTTTTCTAGAACACAACGTGAAACATCTAGCATGCATGTTTAATCTCAGTACAATAGATTCAAAACCAAGTATACATGTTTACATGCTTCAAGGCTAGATTACAAATTATCATAGTCATTGTCGTCATCTTCACATTTTCTTTTCAATGCATTTGCTGCTTCATTGGCAGTAGTTTGTGATGACACCATGTTAGTGGCAATATTTTTGGACCCAATTAATGACCGATTAATTAGAACATTCTGAACTGCTGATGTTGCAGGAATTGATGCTTTTACAGCTGGGGATAATGAAGTGGGCATCTGTACTGTGAACCTTTGCCCTGTGAGGGACACTGAAGCCCCTACTTTAGTTGAAATGGACATGGCTTATGGGGTTGGTGTGCTAAGTGTGGGAGTACTTGGTCTGCTAGTAACTGAACCAACACTTAACTGTGGAACTATCATTCTTCCTGCAGAAGTAGAAGCCTTTTTTGGTAAAGACTTAGGTCTATAATTTGGAGCAGTCAAGCAATAATTATCAGGTGGCAGTCTAGGACCTGAATATGGCTTGATCAGTGGCAAAGGGGTTTGATTTCTTTGCCTTGCAATATCTAATAAAAAATCTCTTGGGGGAGGAGAGGTAAAAGACTGATCAGCAGGACACTGGATCGCCAATCACGCATCATCTGCATCAACAGTAGCTTTCTTAGCATGACTTGAATAAATTTTTGCATCATCTAGAATTGTGGGCACATATCGGAAAGCAGACTCCCACATCTGATTTATAACTCTTGGTTCATATTCTGGCATCCCTATACCCTTCAGGATTTGTGCCATCATCTGTGCATCTTTCGGCATGCTCTTGGGAGAAGCCATCTTGCCAGACTCCTTGATATTTGGTGGTCAAACTTCTCGAGCTAAATCACACACATTAATGTATTTCAGTCTTGATCTTGATGCAAGTCCTTCGCCTAATGTAGTTTTTCCAGCCCCTGGTGTACCAGTGAGCAGGATGTTTGGAAGCAACATGGTCCTTGCCCCACTGGCTCTGAATGCCTTTGCACATGGACTCTACACCCGACTCATTTTTAATCTTTTTTACCCATCTTCCAATTCTCCAAGTCTCTCTTTAGGTGCTATTAAACCTCCCTGCTGAGATCTTATTTTTATTATTATATTTTTCAACTCTGCAACTTTTTATTCAGTCTCTTTCAAAAAATTCCAGGTCACTTTTTTATGGTTTCCAGTTCCATGCTATAATTTTCAGATTGTCTTTTTAGCTTATTGAATATACTACACATAGTTTTTCTTGGTAATCTGCCGCTAGCAATTTTAAAATCTGCAGTCCTATAGCCTACTTTTTTTCACTTCACATTGTATTGTTCACATAATGTTACTCAGTTTCCTGTCTTATAATTTTGGTATCTGAATAATATTCTGTTGATCAAATGAATGGTAGTTTCCTCATTTATAAGACAGGAATATTCCTACCTCTTGGGGTAGCTGCCTGGCTCGCAATAATTAATCTCACAGGGTATACTCTAAGTAATTACTTCTGTCCTTCTGTATCTTTGCAATGCTTATGGTTTTAAAAATTATGTTTATGAGTAGATGAGATCTTAAAGAAAACATGGAGAAATGAAATAAGTTTATTGGGTATTTGGATTGTGTGTGTTAAAATTTTCCATTATTTATATTGAAATATGTTTATGTACTAAACATAAATCATAAAAGTAAAATGAAGTTCCTTAAAGGTAAAAAGGTAATATTTATATTTTAATGAGCACTTCCTGTGTACCAAGCCCTATTCTTTTTTTTTTGTTTTTTTTTTTCATTTATTTTTATTAGTTGGAGGCTAATTACTTTACAACATTGCAGTGGTTTTTGCCATACATTGAAATGAATTAGCCATGGATTTACATGTATTCCCCATCCCGGTCCCCCCTCCCACCTCCCTCTCCACCCGATCCCTCTGGGTCTTCCCAGTGCACCAGGCCCAAGCACTTGTCTCATGCATCCCACCTGGGCTGGTGGTCTTTTTCACCCTAGATAATATACATGTTTTGATGCTGTTCTCTTGAAACATCCCACCCTCACCTTCTCCCACAGAGTCCACAAGTCTGTTCTATACATCTGAGTCTCTTTTTCTGTTTTGCATATAGGGTTATCGTTACCATCTTTCTAAATTCCATATATATGTGTTAGTATACTATAATGGTCTTTATCTTTCTGGCTTACTTCACTCTGTATAATGGGCTCCAGTTTCATCCATCTCATTACAACTGATTCAAATGAATTCTTTTTAATGGCTGAGTAATATTCCATGGTGTATATGTACCACAGCTTCTTCATCCATTCGTCTGCTGATGGGCATCTAGGTTGCTTCCATGTCCTGGCTATTATAAACAGTGCTGCGATGAACATTGGGGTGCATGTGTCTCTTTCAGATCTGGTTTCCTCGGTGTGTATGCCCAGAAGTGGGATTGCTGGGTCATATGGCAGTTCTATTTCCAGCTTTTTAAGAAACCTCCACACTGTTTTCCATCGTGGCTGTACTAGTTTGCATTCCCACCAACAGTGTAAGAGGGTTCCCTTTTCTCCACACCCTTTCCAGCATTTATTGCTTGTAGACTTTTGGATAGCAGCCATCCTGACTGGTGTGTAATGGTACCTCATTGTGGTTTTGATTTGCATTTCTCTGATAATGAGTGATGTTGAGCATCTTTTCATGTGTTTTTTTTTGCCATCTGTTATGTCTTCCTTGGAGAAATGTCTGTTTCGTTCTTTGGCCCATTTTTTGATTGGGTCATTTATTTTTCTGGAGTTGAGCTGGAGGAGTTGCTTGTATATTTTTGAGATTAATCCTTTGTCTGTTGCTTCGTTTGCTATTATTTTCTCCCAATCTGAGGGCTGTCTTTTCACCTTGCTTATAGTTTCCTTTGTTGTGCAAAAGCTTTTAAGTTTCATTAGGTCCCATTTGTTTATTGTTGCTTTTGTTTCTAAAATTCTGGGATGTGGGTCATAGAGGATCCTGCTGTGATTTATGTCGGAGAGTGTTTTGCCTATGTTCTCCTCTAGGAGTTTTATAGTTTCTGGTCTTACATTTAGATCTTTAATCCATTTTGAGTTTATTTTTGTGTATGGTGTTAGAAAGTGTTCTAGTTTCATTCTTTTACAGGTGGTTGACCAGTTTTCCCAGCACCACTTGTTAAAGAGGTTGTCTTTTTTCCATTGTATATCCTTGCCTCCTTTGTCGAAGATAAGGTGACCATAGGTTCGTGGATTTATCTCTGGGCTTTCTATTCTGTTCCATTGATCTCTATATCTGTCTTTGTACCAGTACCATACTGTCTTGATGACTGTGGCTTTGTAGTATAGTCTGAAGTCAGGCAGGTTGATTCCTCCAGTTCCATTCTTCTTTCTCAAGATTACTTTGGCCAAGCCCTATTCTAAGCTCTTCACATGTATTAGCTCATTTGATCATCTCCCAGAAACCCTCTTTGAGAGGTATTATTATTAGTCCTACTTTACAGGCGATAAAGTTGAAGCTCAAGAGGGTTAAATAACTTTCTATGGTCATACAATTAATAAAGGGCAAGGCCAGGATTCTAACACAAGCAGTTTGGCTCCAGAAATCAGTTTGTTAAATATGGTATATGGAAAAAAAAAAAAAGGAGAGGAAACAGAAAAGAAAAAGCAAGAGTATCAAGTGTTCCTCCACCAGTATACCTCATTATCACATCTTCTTCCCCAGCTCCATTCTGTACTAATCTTAGAGAACCAGGAAAAGATATGAAGAGAAAAAAGAAAATGTTCCAGGTACTATGGATGTGTAACAAGTCATGCTTAGTAGCAGAAAGTAGCCATTTGTTTTACCCATGGATTCCATGGGTCAGAAATTCAGAAAGGGTAGAGTGAGCAAGGTTTGTCTCTGCCTCACAATGTCTAAAGCAGCTTTTTTTTTTTTTTGAAGAAAAAAATCTTTATTTCAGATAAAGTTATTTCCACAATTAAGGTTAAAGTAAATGCACTTCCCTGAGTCCATTATTTCAGGTGACTGAGTCCTCAGATGGAAGACTTGAAACTGGGGATAGAAATCAGGGCATCATCTGAAGGCTCCTTCACTCACTTGTCTAGCTGTTGATGAGGATCCCTGGCTGGGAGTCTCAGAGACTCTTTGTGAGGACCTCTCCAGGGGGACTTCCCTCAGAGACTAGATTGAGCTTCCTCATAGCCCAGGGTTGGCATCATCCAGAGTTAGCACTTTCAGAGAAAGAGAGAAACAGATGGAGAGAGGGAGAGGGTGGGAGAATGAGAATAAGGCTGAAACTTTTGTGATCTATCTAGGAACTTACATAGTATCTCTCCTAAGTTTGCCAATGAAGGAGATGCAAAAGATGCAGGTTTGATCCCTGGGCTGGGAAGATGCCCTGGAGGAGGAAATGGCAACCCATTCAAGTATTCTTGCCTGGAAAAATTCCATGGACAGAGGAGCCTGGTGGGCTACAGTCCATGGGTTCGCAAAGAGCTGGACACGACTTAGCACACAGCATGATTTCCTACTATACTCTGTTGGTTGACGTAGTCGTGACCTCCCCAGTCTGACTCAGATGAGGGACAGCCACATTGTAAGAAAACTATATGAGGTGGGATGTGAAAGTGAAAGTCACTCAGTCATGTCCAACTCTTTGGGACCCCATGGACTATACAGTCTGTGGAATTCTCCAGACCAGAGTACTGGAGTGGGTAGCCTATCCCTTCTCCAGGGGATCTTCCCAACCTAGGGATCGAACCCAGGTCCCTCACATTGCAGGTGGATTCTTTACCAGCTGAGCCACAAGGGAAGCCCAAGAATACTGGAGTGGGTAGCCTATCCCTTCTCCAGGGGATTTTCCCAACCCAGGATTCAAACTGGGGTCTCCTGCATTGTAGGTAGATTCTTTACCAACTGAGCTATGAGGAAAGCCCATGAGGTGGGATATATATATGCCAATATACATGTGAGGTAGGATATATATTGGCAAATATATTATGCCTGAGAAGGAATATATGAAAGTTCATTTCTGTGTTGTACTAAAGCCAACAGAAAGAAGAGTGGTGATTTAGGCAGTCTTTTTTAAGTTAAAAATAACAGCTAACAGCATCTGCACCCAGAGTAATGGTGAATGAACAGATATACTAGTTTACATAAATGCAAATGACTTTAAAACTAGCAACCTTTATAAGTCTGCCCTGACTGATTTATAAACTACCTCCGATATTTTACAGAAGGACACATTCTGGAGGAAGAAAAAGTCTGATTTCACGTGTCATGACTGATCTTTATATCCGGGGCCCACACTAAGAGTACATTTGTGGGACAAGGCTTCCCATTAAGCACAGAT